AAAATTCTCAAAATCACCCCTAAAAATCGCTAAAAATCCCCTCAAAATTTCCCCAAATCCTTCCAGAATTCCCAAAACTCCCAAATTTTCCCAAATTTTCCCAAATTTCCCCAAATTTCCCCAAATTCACCTTCCCTGGGGGTGCACGGCGATGGCGCGCACGGCGCCGCGGTGAGCCAGGATCTTCAGCGCCGCCTCGGGGCTGTTGGGCGTCCACAGAGACACCGTTCCTGGGCAAAAAAACAGGGATTTGGGCAAAAAATGGGATTTGGGGAGAAAAAATGGGAATTTGGGGAGAAGGGAGGGGAAAAAACAGAAAAAAAAATGGGGAAAATCAGGGGAAAAACAAAGGAAATTGGGGAAAATCTCCCAAAACTGCAACAAAATCCAACCAAAATCCCCCAAAATTCCCTCAAAAAAACCCCCAAAATTCCCTCAGAAATACCCCAAAAATTCCATCTAAAACCTGCTAAAATTCCCAAAAATTCTGGAAAATTCCCAGAAATTCCCCAAAATTCACAAAATTCCAGGAATTCCAACCATTGGTGGATGAGGAGGATCTCCCAAAAGCCAACAAAATTCCCGCAAAAAAACCCAAAATTCCACCAAAAACCCCCAAACTTCCACCAAAACCTCCCCAAATTCCACCAAAAATCTGCTAAAATTCCCCAAAATTCCCAATTTTCCCCAAATGCCAGGAATTCTCACCATTTCCATGGCCAAGGTGGATCTCCCAAAACCCCACACAATCCAACGAAATTCCCCCAAAAATCCACCAAAAAAACCCCAAATTTCCACCAAAATCTCCCTAAATTCCACCTAAAACCTGCTAAAATTCAAAAAAAATTCTGGAAAATTCCCAGAAATTCCCCAAAATTCCCAGTTTTCCACTGTTGGTGTCTGAGGTGGATCTCCCAAAACCCAAGAAAATCCAACGAAAATCCCCCAAAAATCCACCAAAAAAACCCCAAAATTCTACCAAAATCTCCCCAAATTCCACCAAAAACCTGCTAAAATTCCCAAATTTTCTCAAAATCCCGGGAATTCTCACCGTTTCCATGTCCAAGGTGGACGAGGGCGTTGTGGGGGTTTTGGGTCATCGCGGCCGCGCGGCCGCTGCGGGTCCGGAGCGTGGCCACCTCCTGTCCCACGGAAATGTCCAGATAATGGAGCAACCCCAGCTCGTTCTGAGGAGAAAAAACGGGAATTTGGGAAAAAATGGGGAAAAATGGGAAAAAACGGTGAAAAAATGGGGAAAATCGGTGAAAAAATGGAGAAAATAGAGCAAAAAATGGGGAAAATGGAGGGAAATGACCCAAAATGGGCTCCTGTCCCACGGAAATGTCCAGATAATGGAGCAACCCCAGCTCGTTCTGAGGGGAAAAATGGGAAAAATGGGAAAAAATGGGAAAAAACGGTGAAAAAATGGGGAAAATAGAGCAAAAAATGGGGAGAATGGGGAAAATGGCCCAAAATGGGCTCCTGTCCCACGGAAATGTCCAGATAATGGAGCAAGCCCAGCTCGCTCTGAGGGGAAAAAA